GCTTACGCGAACCTTCGCATTCCGTAAAAGGCGGGGAATTCCTTGATTAGCTGAGCTATTATCGGTTACACATGCAGTACTGTGGGATTAATCTTAATATTATGCATCGTGTTGCGTGTTACAAATAGGGTATGTAAATGTATAAAAGTATGCAGTCTACACAACCATATTCTGTATTTAAAAACAAAGTAGACGATCTTGTATCAACATGTGTTTTTATTGAAGCTACATATTTCGTACAATTTCAATTTTTATGTTTTAATCTTTAGTCTTTAATTTTTAAATTTTATTATCTAGTAATTAATTCAATTTATGCATTTAAAAGACTCAAGAGCACAATAAGGATCATTATTGAAGAATTAAATGCAAATAGTCGAATGCAATTCAACAACTGAGACTGATATCTTTGTAGCCTTGATGATGACCCAATATAATGGTCGAAACGTAGCCCAAGTAGGAACAAATGTTGATATAATAGTGTCCACTTTGTTTTTAAATACAGAATGTTGTATAGACTGAGAATTTTGTTGTGTAGGCTGACATACTTTATACATTTATATACTCTACTCTGGAATTATTTGGAGTCTGAAACAGCGTCGTTAAATAGCCTAAGAATCAGTCCACATGGAGTGCGCCACACGTTCCCACGTTATAATATTCAAGCGCAAATGCAATTAGGAATTTCATTTGTCTGTCAGTATGACGTACTGCAAAGGAAATGGGTTCCGTGGACACTGTGATCAGTTTCGCGTCGTGAAATTGCGTGATAATTTCCCTTCCGAGAATGGAATTTGGAGTGACACACAGACTGTAGCGCGGAGCATGGATTGCAATTTCGTCCCTCGGAGTTCTGTTCGGTTGCAGTCCCATGTGGTTCCAAAATTCTGCGTTCAGATTCATAATGTTTGAACAGCTCAATTCTGTCTACCAGCAGAACCCAGTAGCTGTGAGAGGCAAAGAAATATTGATTACTACTCTGATGAATTCAGCTACTCAAGAACATTTTAATAATTTTAAACTTTTTATCGATTCTTGGGTTTACCGAATAATTTTAAACTTTTAATCGATTCTTGGGTTTACCGAATAATTTTAAACTTTTAATCGATTCTTACTTTTTCCGTTGCATTTGTTATATATGCTGTGGAATCGTTGGGGGGTTGTGAATGGTGAATCGGAAGTGATGTAGAAGTGAAGTAATGAATAGATGAACAAATTAACCAATTGATTAATATCCTTATTAAATAATTTTTGTCATATAGTCTGTTTCTCCTCTCCACTCAGTAGTGGAGTCTAAGGGCCCACTCGGCACGGCGGCCACTGATTGGCCTATTGTAGCCTGTCCCGGGTGATTATGACGATGGAGAATTTGTTGGAATGAAGATTGGCAGGGGAAACGGAAGTACTCGGAGAAAACCCGCCCCAGCGTCATTTTGTTCACCACAAATCCCACTTGACCAGACCCCGGAATCGAACCCGGGCCGTCGCGGTGGAAGCCAGCGACTAACCGCTTGAGCTGTGGCGCCGCCTTAGACATACTCAGTAAATCCAGTTACTAATCCACACTTCGCCAGTGGGCACCCTATCACGTGACAGTATTATAAAATGTTGAACATCTATTCAGTGTTACCAACCCTTTCTTTGTATTATTGTAGAAATCTTTTAATTTTTGTGCTAGACGCTACGAGTTACATTGGCTTCATGATTTAATATCCTGAATAGCTGCGTGACAGCCAGCTGTAGCGCCGTGTTAGGGTAAAGTGTGTGCTTTATTTCCGTTTTATCAAAGTTTGAAACTTATGACTCGTCGTGAAATTCTCTTATGGTCTTTGTCACAAGTAACCTTAAACTGACATAAATTGATGTCAGAACTTTGAGAGAAGGACAGGCTGTGAAAATGTGTTTAGCTCCACAAGATCATCTCAGAAGTTTGCTCTGGGAATATTGATTTTTGCTCCTCTAAATAATTAGCAAATTTTGCCAACTGTTTATTGCCAGAAGTTTAATTAAATGCCGGGTGCTTGGTACGTGTTATGAACCCTACTGACTCAAGTCTCCCAACGACGTAACTGCGTAATTCAGGCATCTTGTCTGAAACATGATTAGAATTTCGCCCCATCCACCCTACGAGTCTCATGTCAGTAAGGCCCAATATTCTTTTATTTTGAAGGCTGTAAGAACTCAAAAGAGTTCTATCTTTTGGGATATAATTCCGTGTAGTCCGTTGAAAGTCGAAACTGACGTTTGGAGAAGTATGGTGCCTCCATTTTCAGACTTGGAAGAGAAAGCCAAGCTAGAAAGCAGCGGGAAAGCAGGTGGCAGAACTCCGTTTACAGGGTCTTCCATTCAACAGCTGTAGCTGATAACCTCAGTACGGATATCCTTGTTGTCCGTCCACATGTTTCACATTCAAAACTCATGAGACAGATTTACATGAAATTTGGTATGCGCGTTCACTGCTGAATCTTGCGGAATTTTACTTGGTCCATATATGTATATTCCCAAATTTTACGAAGCTTAAATTGAACTGCATCACAGTTACGGTTTTCTAGGATGTGAGACCGTCTTGTCTGGTAGATATACCTCCATCTTTGGTGTAGCACCGCGTGAAAAGGAGATTACTCCACAACAACCTAGAACACAAAAAAATCGTTCACGTCTTTAAGATTTGTAAGTTTTATTGAAATATTAACAAAATTCAGTGATACGAACTTAACCTCCAGCGGATATCTCTGTTTAAGATTATGTGGGGCTCTATTGTAATCATGTCACTGTTTGTTTTAGTGTCTTCCGGTTCGTCGTTATGTCGTTTCCCTGGAAACCGGGTGCAGAACTAATCTGACTTACGGCAAAACCGTAAGATGGCAGCGGTAAACGGCAATGCTGCAGTCGGTATTATAGTGTAGCTATTTGCTTCAAAACGTACCTGTAAAACCTTTTTTTTTTAATTATTTTTCTTATTCTATGAAACCGTAATTATAGAACATTTCGAGTTTATGGGGCCCTTATTCAATGAAATTATGACTTCCAAGGATGTAAACGCATAAGAATGGACCGAAATTATCAAATTTTGGGGGTTTTGAATTTTTAGGTTAAATTCCACTAGTTGTTAAAATAATGCCCTGATATTTTCCTTAAGAAGATCAACGCAAATACGAGCTTTCGGTTGAGAGACTGGAACCACATCTCTTTCATGTACAAGTCACGTTTTCTTAACATGAGACTGACCTCCCTATATATGCTGAGAGTCAATTACGTCACATAAACGAACAGTATTTCATTTCCTTGTGTCGCATGAATTGAATATCGCAATCAGACTCTCGCGTTCATGGGCACGTTTCATTCGCTCCGCCCACTTCATGGCGCTGACATCATCGATTGATGGGTGTGTTAACATGTAAGCCATCTGCCAAACTACACGGTGTCACAGTCCGGAATACCATAGTTCACAGTACAAATAGACGTGTTATTCTTAGAGTGATATCTTATGTTTTGATAAAAATATTGGGTGTCCATGGTGAAGCCATCCATCCGACTGATTGACTGACTGACCCACTCATTCATCCTATGGACCGAGTCCTTGAGAAACCGCCAGTCGCTCAGCTACACAAGAAATTCCCAGCGAATTATTTAACTCGAAAGTTCATTACCTTCTTCAGGGGAGCCCTCAACAGGCTCCTAGCGTGAGCCAGATCAGTCCACTCCACACCACCTCACCGTATTTGTGGTGAAACCATCAGTCCACTCCACACCACCTCACCGTATTTGTGGTGAAACCATTATACATAAGCGTGATCCGAGAACTCGGCTTACCCTGTCAGAACCGTCACTTGAACGCAATAAATACGGAGGCATGAAGATACTTGTAATCTTGCATTAAACGTCATCACAAGAGGGATGTAATATCGGAGAACTTGGTATTCAGTTGTCAGATTTTCAACGAATAGTGTTCCGTCTTAGAGTAACCTTGCATTGAAGGTATTTAGTACGTGAGGCTTCTGTGTCTTGTTTTTGTGGTTTAAAGTTATTTTTATCTTACCGACATTTTCCCACAAAAGCCACAGTTTTCTTTGTTTTCTGATTTATCTAAGGTATAACGTTCTACAAATTACTGTCGCTTTATTGTAATACACTTCGAGTAATATTTATTATAAACTGAGTTGTGTAGGATTTGAGGTTGTCACACCGGTGATTGTGAAGAGTACTGTCTTCTGGGATGTAATGCCTTGTAGTCCGTTGACAGTTAATTGACGTTTCGGAAGAACATGTCGCCTTCATCTTTAGAGTCGGAGAATAAGCCAAGCAGGAAACCAGCGTGAATACAGGCAGGAAGCAGAGCTTGCTTCGAGCTGGATTCTTGCTTGGGGTCTTCTTCGACGACCCCGAAGATGGAGATGACATGTTCTTCCGATACGTCAATTGACTTTCAACGGACTACAAGGCATTACATCCCAGAAAATATAACTCTTCAGGGCACTGAATTGTTATTGGCAAGGGTGAGCATTAATTCCTTTTAGACATCTCTATATAGCTCCATTTTTCATGCTGATATTCCGATACTAATGTGCAGTTTCAGCTTGTGGTCTTTTAGGTTGTGACACCATGTCCTTTGTACTGCGGCCACTTCTGGCCTCAATTGTACCAGCCCCAGATGATAGGTGAGGTTGATTGTGGAGCAGTTGGTGGAATGAAGATTGGCAGGGGAAACCGAAGTACTCGGAGGAAGCCTACCCCAGCGCAACTTTGCCCACCACAAATCCCACTTGACCAGACCCGGGATCGAACCCGGGCCGCCGCGGTGGAAAACCAGCGACTAACAGCTTGAGTTATTGAACGGCCATTTCTTTATAGTTGACCATGAAGATGTCGCCAGTGCGCTCCTCGACGTTGTACAGCGCCACGCGGTGTCAGGACTCAGCGCAGTGGAAACCTGAAAACGGAACTCTGTGTAATTCCTGTGCTGCTGCAGACTTAGTACACGTTTAACTGGGTCTTGGGCCCGAATGCCTCTTGCCAGTATAAGATGTGATCCAGATTTCTTTGTCTTGTCAACCCCTTCATTAGTATCCGTGATGGACTTCCTGTCAGCAAGTTTGTGTGCATTATCAACGTTGATCCCGCATGTAGCCCTGTACAAATACACGCACGTGAGTATGTAGACCTGAAACAAATTTCCGCTGTATCGCCTCTCTCCTCTTGTACAGAGGGGAGTAGAAGGGTCGCTTATGCGCACGCGCTGCTTGCAAGTCTCGAGGTTGACATAGAATCTTGTTGACAGTAGATGTTTACATCACCGATGACTTGACAAACGATAACGTTGATCGTGGTGGTGGTGGTGATTATTGTAATGGTGATGCAATGTTTCTTTTAGGTTATTTTGCGACGCTGTATCTGCTGTTCAGCTATGTAGCGTCGAATGACGTAAATAATTTTGGAGGTAGTACCATGTCATTTGCTTGGAGGCACTGAAGACATTATGAAACATCCGAGGATAACCGGGCATCTCCTTGATGTGATCCAGGCGAGTTACCTTTTGGACTAGATCGATGTAATGACTGTGTTTCGTCGGTCATGGTAGCCGAGCGGTCTGAGGTATTTACTGTCCTCGCTCGCTCTGAAGCCCGGATCGTGGTTTCGAATCCCAAACAAGGCATGGGTGTTTGATATGTACAATACGTGTATATATGTTTATTCTGCGTCTGTGTTGTCCTGTGTTTAGGTAGAGGCTGATCACCTGTCCACGGAGTCCTAAAAGTAAAGAAAGTAAAGCTATCCCTGTAACAGGCCGTGAAGGCCCATAGGGTTGTGAGACGTTGAGGGTCCCACATTACCTTGACAATCGGCTCAAAGATGGCGGTAAGGTTGTCAGTCTTACGCGCCGGCCGCGCTTCACTCCCCAGGAAAATTATTTAATTAATTCCTGGTACTCATTTCTGTTAGAGGCTGAGTAAATCCCAGGACCTAGTGCGGCCGGGCGGATTCCTACCGTCTGTAAAAAGATCATGAAAGTGAAAATCAGAGGCCAGGAAAATGACGGTGTTTCACCTGAATATGTTGTAGGGGGCAATGTCAGATGAGATGGACAGATGTTATTAGTGGTATTTGTACAGAGAGGTGGAAAGAGGCTGTAGTGACAACTTACCACTATGTTACCACAATAGTGTGTAGTTATACACACTATTGTGGTGAGTGAACATAACGGTAAATTGTACACACACAATGTGACGCTTGAACACAATGTTTCTAGTAATAGCTGTAGTGACATATTGCAAGGTAATCGCCAAGAATTTCATTGGGAGACGTAAAGATAAGCGATATTCCTATCAGGATTCGACCCGAGCCTGGGTCGTCATATCCTGCGATAGTGCTTGTGAGGATACTTGGTAGACAGAATGGCCGTGGGAAGTTTTGAAGGATGACGGCAGGTGCGGCGGATTTCATTGCTTGTGGCCGTTATTTCTTCGTTAGCTCTTACGTCATCAAATGGACTGTCAAGATGAAGATACGGGAAAATCCCGGCCCTGCGGATTGTGATATTGTCATAACCACTGCCGGAAGTGACAGTGTTTGGATGTCGCGTGAAAGTGAATGCACATTTGTGGATGTTCGCTGTTCTGTCATGCTCAAGTTATTTACAGGCGTTGACTTATCTGTAAAGTTTGTTTAGTAATAGATTGGACTTGTGGAGATGATTATTGCAAGTAAACGGAGAAAGATGGTGTCTTTGTTAGTTTGTATCTTCCAGCATTGTCCATGAAACCCCCTGGAAATACTCGAAAGAAAAGTATAGGGCATCTTAATTCAGAATAGCTGATGAGCTAGCAAATTCACAGATCATTTTAAAATTTTGAAAGTAAAGTGTGAAGACTTTCATTGCAGTAACTTAAGTAAAGGGAGAAATGATTACCTCATTTTACTTAAGCGCCTGACCTGAAAACAGACGGATCTTTGATCGATGCCAGGTGAATGCATATTTAATAGCGAACAACGAAAAGGGGCCAAGATAACTCAGTCGTTATTATAACGGGCTATGCCCTGGACGGCCGGGGTCCAATTCCTGGCAGGAATCTCTACCCCACGGGGTCCAAACCAGCTGTGGAACCCACCCAGCCTCATCTCAAATTGATACCGAGGTTTCTTCTCGGAGGGTAAGATGGCAGGGGCGTGAAGCTGACCGTTTACCTCTATACAGTGTTGAGGTCAAGAATGGTGGAATTATACCCCAATTTTGCCGTACGTCTTCATGACTTTCTGCTTAATTAATTAAGCACAGAGACACTTCTGTATTTTACTGCGTAACGAGATGTGTCACAAGAATTCAAGATTGATTGATTGATTGTTATATTAATGACGCTGGTTTATCTGCAGATGTTGAATTGCAGCGAATGACAAGGCGAGTGGTCGTGGATGGAGAGAAAGTAAGGATTGAGATTGATTTGATTGTTTCATCAGTTATGTAACGGCGCTGCATATACTGCAGAAGTTGGAAGGTGTAGCATCGAATGAGATGATTATTGCCTGTCTATTTGGGCAGTAGTAGAAGTAGTAGAGCTGGAACTCGAAGTAGTGGGATTGGAACTCGAAGTAGTAGGACTGAAAATCGAAATAGCAGGGCTAGAACTCGAAGTAGTAGAACTGGAAGTCGACGTAGTGGGACAGGGACGGCCTCGCCATTAAGGAAACCGATTTATATGAACTCGGAAGGCGAGACTTGCCGAAGTCTCAGTTGAAGTAGAATTTCTGAATGGGTCCCCGCTTATAGCAGTCAGACTGTTACTCTTGATATGCGGGTGTGAATTCTGATTACCCGAACGTGTACTGCCGGTGCATCCCACAAACGTGACATTACAGTATGTACAGGCGAGAGTATCGCTCTTAAAGATCGTCCATCCGCGATCGTGACTCTTAAGCCCGAAAAAGGGATTCATTACAAGAAGGAGAAGCTAATCGGAAAGATATCTTCAGTTGTAGTTCTGTGCTGCATCTGCCGAGACAAAACATACTATATCTTGAGTACCTGCGTCCACTGCTACGCAACATTAAGCGGACCTGGCCATGTCCAAGTATCTTATAACCATTTGTGTGTACCAGTGCGATGCTGGGCTGCATTATTATGATGATTATGAATGCTGAGTAGGGAAGGAGGCATATCTTATGTGCTTGGGGATGATAGATATGTTACAGTTAATTATATTTATCATGCAAACGAACAGTACAGTTTACATTCTATTTCTGATACATATTCACCGAAGAGTAAATGTTTATTTTTGGCTAAATGTAGAATTTGTTTTTGTTGGTGGAATTTATGTTTTTGTCCCCCAAAATCAGAAACAAAAATACTTTTTTCCAATCGTTGGGTTAACTGAATGCCAACATGTTTATGTTGTATACTAATCCTTACTTTTTTCTTCATTTATGTACTCACAGTTTGATAAACTGTGCATAAACAGGCGAGGTGTTTGTTTAAACTTTGCCTTTAATCCTATAATTGATTAAGGGTTTAAAGATTTGTCAGTTCTCATGGTAGGTCATTGTTTTGTTGATTTTATACATTTCATCCCTGCTCTCTGTCAACAAAGACAGAAACCCCATCAAACGTGATGGAATAATACACTTTTCGCTCTAGTGTTTATTTTAATAACATATGACGTATAGACCGAAATAAATTGTGTCGAACACCATAGATTGACTGTAATGTATATTTTTATATGTATACGAATCTTTGGTAAGGAGGATGAGGTGGGCAGGGCATGTTGCACGAATGGGGAGACGAGGAATGCATATAGGATATTGGTGAGAAAGCCAGAAGGAAAGAGACCACTGGGAAGATCAAGGCATAGGTGGGCGGACAATATTAAAACGGATCTTAGAGGGATGGGATGGTATGGTTTGATTGCTCTGGCTCAGGATAGGGATCAGTGGAGGGCTCTTGCGAACACGGTAATGAACCTTCGGGTTACATAAAATGCTGGGAAATTCTTGAGTAGCTGCAGAATTTTCCGCTCCTCAAGAAGGGCTCAGCTCCATGAGTAAGTATACGATTTTTTTGGAACTTATATTTAAGAGTCGTCATTGCGTGCTTGGTTGTTTACCTCTACTGACAAATACACTGCTTATTTTGGTATTAGTAGGTTGATATTGAATCGTGAACCTTTCGAATGCTAGGCTAGTAGTAGACTAACCAAATGACCCACCGGGACGGCCCAGGCATGGCTGTTTGTAATTTGAATCTGTGTTACAATTTGGTTACCTCGAATCCCGTAGTGCGGGCAGCCATATGAAGCTCATTCTTGGTTGGCTTATGGCCAGGTCTGCTAAATACTGCCGCTGTCTCTGTTCCCAGCGATCGTGTTTCCTTTTTTATGATGTTTTCTGCTTTTCCCTTGTTTATTCTGCAACCCTGATTCCAGGAGTGTTCTGCTGTGTTGTTTGGACTAGGACATTTCTCTCATTCTTGTGCTTTTGTGTCTGTGATTCAGTCCGTATGCAGTGGCGAGTGTGTAACGTAATATTCGTTTGGTATTGAAGCGGTCGTTGTCACAGACCGTAAAGTACCTGCAGTAGGCTTGTATGACAGATTCAGTACCGGCACTCAACCTTGAACAGTTACCCCAACGCCTTCAGCATTGCTTCCGACACCTGCAATAATTACTACGAGCAACTTCATCAGTTACTCCCTCCGACTAGAGCACAGCAGTTACCCACAGCGCCTATATTCACCTCCAGCACACTTCACAGTTACCACAGTACCTCTTTACCCCACGCTACCGCAACAGCTCGATCTAGCACCTGCAACAATCACCCGCAGAACCTGCAACTGTAACCACCACAACACCCGTAACAGTTACTCTCAGCATAGGATACATTTACTCCGCGTGGTTGTGCGTGAGAAGGGAGCCACCAGATTCACTCCCCATTAGAGGTGGAGTGGCCACTAACAGACACATCATCTCCTCGAAGAGGAACCAGCATTTCAGAACACGTTAAAGTCTTGAAAGAACAAAAGTATGGTTATGGAGTCCCGACGGGGCTCGACCCCAATGCTGACGAGGGCCAACAACAATTTACTGGACTTGACTGTCAGCATTTATTCCTTCCACCCACAACAGTTTTCCAGCACCCGTAGAAATCGCCCTCCCCCTCATCCACAAGTACCACAATATCGTTTTACCCCCGGCTTCCAACAAAAGTTCGTGCAAGCACCCACAGCAATCATTTTCAACACATGCGTCACACTCGGAACCTGTAGCATCCAGTTACTGTTACTGCCAACTCACACACAACAGTGAACCTCAACACCTGCAACCGTTACATTTATCACACGCAACAGTTACCCTCAACATTTGCAGCCGTTACCTTCATCATACGCAGCAGTTACCCTAAACATTTGCAATCGTTACCTTCCTCACATGCAACAGTGAACCTCAACACCTGCAACCGTTACATTTATCACACGCAACAGTTACCCTCAACATTTGCAACCGTTACCTTCATCACACGCAACAGTTACCCTCAACATTTGCAACCGTTACCTTCCTCACATGCAACAGTTACCCTGAACACTTGCAACCTTACCTTTATCACACGCAACAGTTACCCCCATCACTTGGCAACCGTTACCTTCATCACACGCAACAGATACCCTCATCACTTGGCAATCGTGACCTTCATCACACGCAACAGATACCCTCATCACTTGGCAATCGTGACCTTCATCACACGCAACAGATACCCTCATCACTTGGCAATCGTGACCTTCATCACACGCAACAGATACCCTCATCACTTGGCAATCGTGACCTTCATCACACGCAACAGATACCCTCATCACTTGGCAATCGTGACCTTCATCACACGCAACAGATACCCTCATCACTTGGCAATCGTGACCTTCATCACACGCAACAGATACCCTCATCACTTGGCAATCGTGACCTTCATCACACGCAACAGATACCCTCATCACTTGGCAATCGTGACCTTCATCACACGCAACAGATACCCTCATCACTTGGCAATCGTGACCTTCATCACACGCAACAGATACCCTCATCACTTGGCAATCGTGACCTTCATCACACGCAACAGATACCCTCATCACTTGGCAATCGTGACCTTCATCACACGCAACAGATACCCTCATCACTTGGCAATCGTGACCTTCATCACACGCAACAGATACCCTCATCACTTGGCAATCGTGACCTTCATCACACGCAACAGATACCCTCATCACTTGGCAATCGTGACCTTCATCACACGCAACAGATACCCTCATCACTTGGCAATCGTGACCTTCATCACACGCAACAGATACCCTCATCACTTGGCAATCGTGACCTTCATCACACGCAACAGATACCCTCATCACTTGGCAATCGTGACCTTCATCACACGCAACAGATACCCTCATCACTTGGCAATCGTGACCTTCATCACACGCAACAGATACCCTCATCACTTGGCAATCGTGACCTTCATCACACGCAACAGATACCCTCATCACTTGGCAATCGTGACCTTCATCACACGCAACAGATACCCTCATCACTTGGCAATCGTGACCTTCATCACACGCAACAGATACCCTCATCACTTGGCAATCGTGACCTTCATCACACGCAACAGTTACCCTCATCACTTGGCAACCGTTACCTTCATCACATGCAAATATTACACTCAACACCTGCAGCCGTTACTTCCAACACACGCAACAGTTGCCCTGAACACTTCTGCTTGCATTCAGTCTTCACTGAATTGTAAAAATTGGGTGACCAGAATGCTGATATTCAAACAGTTTGCGCAACATGACATCGAGAACAACGAAATTATTCCGGCAGTTGTCAGGTTACATTAAGAATCGGTTATAAAAGCCTAAAGCTCTGAAGTGTAAATGTTGGTTCGTGAATATAGAGGCGTGTTTCTGTGCCGTGCCGTGGGCAACATTTGTTGGGGAACCTTCACACACGAGCAAGTAGCTCAGGAAAGCGTGATATGGGCGTGGGTATTTGTTTCCAGAGCAGTGTGATGAACATTCAGCAAAATCATCATTTCACACTGTATTCAGGTTGATCGACCGTGTAGCTACATTCTGTATCTATAGTAAGGAAACGTCAAGGACAGTGAGGTGTTGTAAATCGGAAAC